TACGTTCAGTTCACGTTCGCCCAAAATATGAACGAGTTCATGAACTTTAGTTCAATGAACGCGTTCAGGCACAACACTGCCGGTATCTGCAATGACTGCGAAGTTGAGCTATGCTGCTACTGACTGAGAGCTGCAGGGCGCTGAGGGACAGGCGCCATGTGGGGACAAACAGCGGAACAACGCGTAATCATCTATGAAGCTAAAGAAACACTTTTATTAACAATTACAAATTTATCATAAATAATTATGTTTCTTAATGACCATTCATCAATGGATCGTACATTTCGTCTGTCTTTGTCTCGTTGACGAAAATCATTTTTATTTTCATCATATTTTTATTTTCTGGAAACAATTTTTGTTCGTTATCGTCTCGTCATCGTCACAGGAAAAAGTGGCGTTGATGAAATATTTTCGTCATCGTCATGGTTGACGAAATTAACACTGGTCCTGAGTGATCTCCTTTTCAGGAAAAAAAAAACAGAGAGAGAATGCTTCAAGGGCCTGCCTTTAACTAAATTTATTTATACAAAATGTGGAATGAGTCTGTTTTATGTGTCATCTTCTAAATTCAGAGGGCCCCCTCCCTGTTTTTGCCTAGGGCCCCAAATTTCCTAAATCCGCCCCTGGAGTCAGCACTGAGGCAACAAGTTAAAGGCAGAGTGATGGGCCCCCAGAGGAAGAGCCNTTTGCCTAGGGCCCCAAATTTCCTAAATCCGCCCCTGGAGTCAGCACTGAGGCAACAAGTTAAAGGCAGAGTGATGGGCCCCCAGAGGAAGAGCCACAGCAGTTCATCTGGTTCCCACAGAAAGCTGGAGCTCCCCCTCCATAGCAGCAGCTGTACCTCTCTGCTGCAGGCAGCAACCTCCCCAGGCAGCAGCAACCTCCCCAGGCAGCAGCAGCAGGGGGACCATGTTCAGAGCCAGAGGACGGCCTGCCCTCCATTCCTCGTCAGTGAAATCCTTCCTCATTAAAAATAAAAGCACTTCCTCCCCTGCAGCTGCTGCTGTTGCTGCGTTCAGATGAAATCCCTCCTCATCCTGGCAACGAGCTGCATCAGGTCCGATCGAACAGATTGTGGTCTCTCTAATCTGTTGAGCAACACTAAAAGGCGGATATGAGCGCTGAGCGCGGAAAGAGGAGGCGATAGGAGCAGGACTGAGCGAGGCGCGGCGCTTTGGCAGGATATTCGGACTGGCCTGGGCAGATTGCTTCTCCACCACTTTTCATTTTCAGGGATCGAGATCACGTCACAGAGAAGAGTCCGAGTTGATAAGTTGGAAAGGAGTAATGGTGAAGCTTTGTCGGTGCGGTTTCCCTGCAGGTATGGAGAGGATCGATGGGAGCGCGCACTGACGCGCACATTCCAGCTGCTGCTTTCTGCTGCCTCTCACATGCAGTCACGGATCTTTATCTCTCTCCTCTCTCCCGGGGGGGACAGGAGAACATCAGCAGCTGGAGGGCAGGAGCTCCTGAGATGTCCATCCATCACGGCACGCTGCTCTTCCTGGGCCTCCTGCTGATGATCTCCGGGGCAATCATGGTGTTCTGCCTTGGAACGGTTCATGCAACCATCCCCCTGTTTGTGCTCGGGGTATTTCTGGGCACGGGGGGAATAACCCTGGTGGTGGCGGGAGTTTGCATGGCTAAGAAGAATTTCCAGGTGGGAGTTCCTGGACACTTTCTGCTGCACCCCCCTACAGGCACACGGTTCAGCCCCCAGCAGGCCCTGGCCATACAAAGGTAAACCTCTGATAGGACAGGTAGAGCCAGTGTCTGACTGCCATTGGTGGTGGGATCTAGTTATTCCCAACTAAAGAATTTAGGGGGAAAACTTTGATTTTTTATTTTTTTTTTATTCTCTCTATATAAAAAAACAAACAAAAACAGCAACTATGTTGCTCAACTTAGAAAATGTTTAACAACAAGGCTTAGGGACAGACTTGAATAATGCGAATGCAAAATCTACAGAGGAATTTAACAGTCTATTAATCTGAGCTTTCAGCAGGTTGATGATTCTGATCAATCATTAGAACAAAATCTGCTTTTACTTTGGAAAGTAACTGAAATCCAGCTTTTATTGCCAAGAATTCCTTTTTTCCCCCAACTGACCCCAAACCAGTTGAATAGATTAGTTTCTTTTAATAAGGAAAATGTGCAAAAGCCCTTCAAAGGATAATATTTTTGATCTCAGCTCCATGCTAATGTCACCTATCATCAGCAGCAGGAGGGATTTACCTTTAGGCAATACTAGGCAGATGCCCCAAGTTCCTGGGGGCCACAAAACTCTGTTTACATGTATGGTTAATACAACTATTATTTGTGCACATTAATTATGTTTTTAAAATGCCATCAGAACGCTGATAATATTAAGTGTGTCTCATTTGCTGCACATGTTCAGAAAGGTCCAAACAGACAGCAGCAAACCATTTGAAAACAAACCATGCAAAGAGCAGTGTTGCCAACTTAGCGCTTTAGTCGCTATATTTAGCCACTTTTCAGACCCCTCTAGCACTTTGATTTCTAAAAAGCTCCTAGCGCCACATTGGAAAAATTATCTAGAAATAAGTAAACATTCCTTAAATTAAGAGTATTTCCCATTAATTTGAGAAGGTAAATGAAATAGTTTGCCAATGGAATGAGTGTTTTTA